AAAAAAAAAAAAGGCGGCCTTGTGCATGACAATTGATCCCTCTAAGCCTTAATTGCTTCATCATTGTAGGTGGCTTGTGAAACCTAAATCAGAGCACAAGTAAAGTATCTGGCATATGGAAAGTACTCAATAAGTATTAACTAGTACATTGTTCGGATAGAAGCAATTAAAACTAACATGGAGGACACTGCAGGTGGCAGAAGACTCAAGCTATGTCTTGGTGTTAGTGTGAAACGTGGATAAATGATTTGGATTTTTCAGATCTTTATTATAATAACTGCCACTACCTATGTAAGCCTCTCCTAATCATAATTAAAACAACTTCTTCTAAACTTTCTTGGTTTTAGGAAACCAAAAAGGGAAAACAGGCTTATTGACATTTCAACTTTACATGTATGAGGATATTATATAGTAAATAGTGGCTGTTCTCTTGAATACAGTTTGAGAAGCCTGTGGGGTCTCCAAGTAACGAGCATAAAGTTGAATATGCTCATCTAGAGGGCAGGAAGGAGACCTGGGTAGAGCTATGGGTTGTAGAGCCATCAGCTTATAGAGACAGTAACCAGAGCCCCAGTAGCCAGAGTAGCCCCAGTAACCAGAGTAGATGAGCTCCTCCCGGAAAAGTGTGCAATGTGTGAGAAACAGAGCACTGAGTGTAGACTATTTTTTTCTCTCCACTATTTTGGAGAGAAAAAATGGAGTGGGGGACAGTTCATACGTCTAGTAAAGATTCAGAAAAGACAGACTGTGCCATGTATTTTCTGTTTCTTCTGGAGGGACACTCTCCACCCTTTGCCCTGCTGTCTGCTCTGAGAAGCTGATCAGTAGCAATTACAACGGAGCTCCCACACCCTCTGGTTTCTGTTTGAGGTTACTTAATGGAAAACACTAATGGGAGAGAATTAGGGGAGAGTAAAGTCAGGGTGTACATTCCCCTGCTGCCATCCTTAGGGGGTTCCCTAGGGCTGGTCATATTCATAAGTGAAAGTCACAGTTGCTTTCTGCTGTGATCTGAATATTTATGGTCTAAAATTCATGTTGAGATCCTAACCCCCAAAGGGATAGTATTAGGAGGTAGAGCCCTTGAAAGGTTACAAAGTCACAGGGATGGAGCCCTCATAAATGAGATTAATGCCATAGAATAGAGACCTGAATGAGAACCCTCACCCTTTCCTCCAGGTAGAATGAGAGGGCACCACATAAGACCCAGGACCAGGCCCTCAACAGACCCTGAATCTGTTGCCACCTTATATTAGACTTCTCACCGTCTACAACTGTGAGAAATAAATTTTTGATGTTTCTAAGTCATCCAGTGTGTGGTATTTTGTTATAGTAGCCCAAATGGGCTAAGGTACTTTCTAAATGGCCAACTCCAGGACTACACATAAAATCTCAGGAACTATTATCCCTGGATCATTATACTGTCAGCATGATATTCCTATACCTTTATAGATAGTCCCTTTGTAAATAAAAACTTCCCAGATTATCCTATTTTTAACATGTTGCTACCATAACACAACATTATGAATTAGATAATAATCCACCAGCGTTAAACACTCAGGACAGTATTTTTTTTCTCATTGTTTTGATTCACTTGTGAAAATATTAATATTTTACTTTATTTGTGTTTTAGTCACCAAACATTTTAAAGATGATGTCAGCTGTACTAATGGCTGTGTCTTAATTGCCACAAGGACAATATCTTCCCTTTTGTACAAATTATAGACCAAACAATCATTTGCAGTAATGATTCCCAAATCCCATCATCAGGAAATGAGATACAAGGCATTTTCTCTGCAATTTCCCGTCTATCCGGGTCAGGAAATGTTAGACATCATCATTTCAGTGTCATTGGACGTCTGCTTGCACATGGAAAAAATTAAGGAGGAGAAGTGACTCTTCAGGTGAAAGCAAATGAAATCAGCATGGAGGAGCATACAGGGCAGTGCTGTCCAGTAGAAAACTAGCACAAGTCACAAAAGGAATTTTTAAATTGCCTCGTAAGCACGTTACTAAAAATTCAAAAGAATCATGTGAAATTAATATTAGTTATATATTGTTATTCCGTGTAATATGTCTTAAATGTTATCACTTCAATCTGCAATAAATATTAACATCATTCATGTGATATTTTACATTCTGGTTTTCATGCTACATCTTCAAAATCTGGTGCGTGTTTTACTCTTACAGTGCAATTGCTGCTGACCATTCATGGTCCATTCATGCTGATCACATTGTAAGTGGCCAGTGACTATGCGACTGGAGAGCACAGAGAGCACGGCTGCAGATAGGTGGACAAATATAGAATGAAGTCAACAAATGTGTTCACTAATTACAGAGCACATATTATAGGTCAGACACACCGTTAGGTGTTTGAAGGGTCAGTCCAAATCCACACAATGTAAAAGTTACAAATCAGACTATAGAGTTAGTGCAAATAACAATTGCTTTTATGATTTATAGTTCCATTTAATTTATTTTACAAATGCTCTCTCTGTCCATGGAAGAAATTTCCTCTTTGTGGAATTGCATCAAGAGGGTGAGGCTTGGAGGAATGAGGCCCCTGTTATCATTCACTGAGATAAAGCTTTGTCCTTCCTGGGGGCCTCAGTCATAAATCCTCAGTCACACAGCTTGCTCATGTTTGTCTCTTATTCCAGGTTGACATTGAGGTAAATTCAATGACCTAGAACTAGACCTAGACCTACAAAGCAGTCTATTCTCCCAATCTGAAGTGAAAGAAATTCACCTGTTGTGTTCTACCTGTGGCAATCACAGTAACCTGTGAGGCAGCCTGAGAATCTTCCACCCAGGCACACCATGCACACCCTGCTGGGGTCAAGGGTATCTAGATCCTTATTAGTTCTAGGACATTTCCCTGGGAGGATAGGGCAAATTGTCTCTCTGTTCTGAGTGACGACATATTGTTCCTGCTTTTCCAAGTAGTATCTGGTCTTGACCTTGGCTTTTGAAAGTCCAAAGTGAAGAATTTGACCCTTGTTGTCAGCACCTTTGATGTTAACCCTTCCCTCAGAATTAAGTGTAAAGTACTCCAGCTACAGTCTGCATGGTGGAAGTATCACAAAGCAGAACTCCAGTCTTCGGGGAATTGGCACCTGGATCTGCTGATTATTTTCCTAGCATTCTTCCTGCCAACATGATACAGCAAATCCTTGCTGTTACTCAGAAATGTCAACAAAACTCCTCAAATAGTTTATGTGTAGGAAGCATATGAAGGATTTTATTATTAAGAATCCCGAGTGGGGCGGTGCTTGTGGCTAAAAGGAGTAGGGCACCAGCCCCATATGCCAGAAGTGGCAGGTTCAAACCCAGCCCCGGCCAAACACAAAACTG